TATGACTTCTTAAGAAGAATACAAATTTAAAAATTTGGGAATTATATCTTCAAGCATTTAACTCATAAAAAAATATTTGGACTTCTCTGAATCTTAAAAAAAATGTTTGTTCATGACTCAGTTTTCAACAGCTATTAAAAATTCTCCGTAAGCGATATTTTTTAAAGTGTAGTGCATGTACGGCTGGAATTTTGTGCGTCATGTTTCTGCCTGACTTTTTGGTTGGAGCTCGTGTGTGGCGCTCGCAGTTTTGTTGTCTTTTGTATTTTGTACTGGCTGGAAGACAAAAGCCGTGACCCCCCTTCCTCCGCGGCGACTCCCCGAACGGGTTTCCATGTAATCTGTCTGGGGCTCAGGGAACTGCTTTCGGTCTCCAACTCGGACTCGGTCGCAATCCCCCCCAGCATTGCATTAACCCAATTTCCAGCTTGAGATGCGAAGCTGCGTGATTTGCAAATTACCGCTCAGCCGATGCAGTTCCATTGTGACGGGCTGTCCATCCGACCAGTGTCCACTGTTCACAGTCCGCAGTCCGCAGTCTACTGTCCCCCCGTCCAATTCGTGTTTCAAGCGACTTACTCATGTTTATATGAAAAACTCACTAATTGCATGGCGTAGACAGAGAAGCAGACAATAGGCGTAAATTCAGACCATAAAGTGTGATTTGCATATCCATTTAATAAATTTTCTTTGTAGTTTATGGCAAGAGGTGTGATAGGTATTTCTGAATGGTTTGCATTTATCTAGGAAACTATAGATCTTAAATTGGATTTGTTTCTTGTGCAAATGCACTTTTAATACTTTTAACAACCTTTGTAAATGAAAGTTTTTGTCTGATAATTAATTCAATTTCCTCTCGGCACAATCATTAATTATTTGGGGTTCATTTGAATAGGGTCTCAAGTCGTGGGTAAATAACTCAACTGGTAAAGTGATACCCCAACAAATACTTGAGGGAAAGTGTAACAAATATGTTTTGTCCGACCTTTGGACCAAATAAATTTGACAATTCCCGAGACACACTTATAAAAGGTGCCCAGCCTGATCCATTTATGGTGACACTGACCATGACTGATGGGGGAAACGGGGTCACCAATTTGTGCAGGCAGCCATAAACCTTTCAATAGCAAGTTTTCCATGGGGGCCCATAAAGTTTACAGCGCCGGCTTAAATGAGAAATCCATCTTAATTAAAACGAATATTGAGATGGCAAATCAACGATTTGCATTTGTCAAGCAATTTGTTCAATTGATGTCGTATCATGTCGTGTTCTCCGCTGATTTTTGATGAGCACGTGCACAAGTTGCTTATGTTTTTCTTTTTATTTTTTGCACAGAGTAGGAGTAAACCCTCTGCCAAGTTTCCCCTGATGAGTCCCGAGAAAAACTCATTTAACGAGCTTCTGCCTGGGCCAAGGTTTCTTAGCCCGATGGCATGACTTGGACTTCAGATAAGCCCACAGCTTGTGGCTCCGAGTTCGGCTTTAATGTTTCGAGTCTTCGGGATTTTTTGTATTTTTTTTTCTGGGCACGCGTAGGCGTAGCCATTGAGCACAATGCTTCACGGTGCAAAATGTTAACGAATTTTCACAGGCCCAGCCGCATTCTAAGTGCAGTTTTTCCAAGCGCAGCATATCAAATCATTCGTCACCCGCCCCCCCTGTTTTCCCCCCTTTTGTGTCCATAATTATCGCAGACTGGAGTTCGGGCTTCGGAGCCAAAGTCGATTGTTGACAAGCAATTTGCAGGCGGCGGCGGCGGACTCGATCCCTGACTTCGCATCCAGCTGCGTTTGGGCCGCCGTCTAAGACGCACACTCATAAAAAAATATAACATAAATTTTATGGCCCTGAAACACGGTACTCCTTTTTCACATTTAATAAATCAATCCGGCTGCCAAATTTAAGCTCTTGTGGGTTCGAGACCACTGAAGCTGTGTTAAAAAAGAATGTTTTCCCAAAGTTTAATACTTTGATTTAATCTCAAAATGTTCCTAAAAATTTATGCTTTAAACAAGATTATTTTAAATGTACATAATTCCTTTTTTTTTAAATATTTTTCGAGTGCAGTTTGTGGCTCAGTCTGGGGTCACAGAGCAGCTTGAAGTGCACATAACTCCGCGCTGACTCTTGTCTCATTTGATTGTGCATTTGCCAATTGTTGCCTGGCTTTTATTGTTGCGGCTGATTGAAGTCAAGGCCCTGCTTTGTTTTCGATATTGGTGCTAGTGGATTGGAGATATCTGTAAGATACGTGTAGCTCCGTTCGAGTTGCAAGTGGCATTTAAGCGAGACACGCCCACTGGAGTAGGTGCACCCTCCCCGAATCAACACCTCCTCGAATGTGGAGTCCGGAATCTATAATTAATTCATTGGCTCGCGTCTCAGATCACTCCCCCCAATCCATCGATGGTGCAACGGCGGAGTCAAATCAAAAGTCAATCAATACGCGCTGCCCCAACAGCGAAAAGAAACAGACATCAATCAAGTGTCGGACACATGCAACTGCAACTGCCACGGCAGCAACAACAAATTGGCCAAAACATGCACAGTGCAGACATCAATTGAATTTATCAAACAGAAGCCAAACACCGGACCCCGTACCACAAATTTTCGGTTGGTTCAAATGTTTTGGCTTTTGCATATACGAGTAGAGTTACAACACGGCGTGGATAATTAAAAACTTAATTTCCCTCGCCTCGAGTAGTGTGGTGCACCGGAAAAAATGGATTTGAATTTTAATATAATAAAAAAAAACAGTTTGGAGTTCAACAAATTTAAAAACCCTTATAATTATATGCGCTGAACATGATTTCAGCAAAAAAGAAAAATAATTTAAATTAAAAATTTCCTTTAAATAATGTTATTAGCTACTAATTACATAAACTGCCAAATTCAATGAATTGAAAACTAATTTTATTTCAGTGTGCTTAGAGCCAAAGGAGCGGAAAACGACTTAAGTTCACTTTTATCCGCAAATCGGCGCATATGACGCTGATTAACACGGAGTCTGTAACCGCAATTGAATCGTTGCACCGGCCATTAACCAGGTTCGATCGGAGGAAGGAGGGGGATTTATGTGCTGATGGCGGCGTGTGAATATCTCCAAGCGAAGCCAATCCATTCGAGAAGTCATTTCCATATGCTCTGTTGCAACTTGCCACTTGCAGTTGCAGTTAAAGTATCTTGGAGCTGCACGTGCAGCGCTTAGATAAATAGAAAAACAAATGGGCAAGGCAACAGCGCCTACGTATTGAGGCAATCACTGTGGAAAATAGTGCCGCACAATTGCAGATTTGTACTTTTGGTACACTAAAAAAATAATTGTAATAATAGAAAATAAATTAAGTGGTATTTCAGCCCAGAAGGAATTAGTTTTTAATTAATTTATAAGTTTATTTCCTTGTAAAACCAAACTTGTTTTAAGCTAATCCTGAATTTACACTATTAATTACCTTCAGTCATGTCAAATTAGTCTGTTAATGATATTTTTTGTAATCTGAAGTATATTAAACTATTTTTCCCAACATTTTCAAGCCACTGTCCAATGACTGATGATGCTGGCTGTGAGTTTGCCTTGCGGCGTGATTTTGGCAGTTGCTGCATAAATCAAAAAGTGTCATAATTTGCAACTGCAGCACCAGCATCATGTTGCCTGTGTCGATCGCAGATTGCGCATACGCGGCGTGTTCCCGCGTGGCAGATGCAAAGGCGTCGGATTTCAGTGGCGTGCCTGTGTGCCCTTAAGAAGAGTCGCATTAATTCCAATTAGAAAACATCCGCACTGGCAATTGAAAACTCGTTAAAGTTCATTACCTTAAAGACGACGACCATCGCGGGCGACAGCCTGCCTTTTCGAGTCAATGCCACCACGATCTTGGCCAGATCGCTGGAAAAAAAAAGAGCTAAAGGGGGCGAAGACAATCGATATCTAACTGAAGATCGACTTGTTACACTTAAGTAGCTGCAATTGCAATTGCCATTGCTTCGATCACAAAGGCACGCTCATTGATTCGCTGCAATTGACACACGACAATTGAAGTGCTGGCTGGAAAAATCACGGCCACTTGGCCTTGGGGCTAATTTCCAGCCGGTTGGCTGGCATTTGGTCCGGACTGGTCCAACTGGGCTCGAATTAGCCGCGAAGCGCAGCTGCTGACATTGAAAGCCCGGCGTGTCATAATATTTAAATAATTTATGTGCGCCGCGATAAGCTTGGCCGATCTTGGGCCAAAGGTAAATCTGGCCCGGCTTTTCGGTCATATTTATGGCTGCAACAACCTTGAACCGCCGACTTGAGCCTCTGATAAATGCAATCGGACACGCCCGCCCAAATGCCGACGAAAAGATCGCCGGCTTCATCTATCCCAGGGGTGTGACCCAAAACCATTACTCTTAGCCATGGCTCAGTGAACCGAAGATGGCAAGGCTATCGATTGGGTTTAGCCTGGGTTCGGGTGCCGTTTAATTGGTTAATTTAGATAGGATACTGAGGCTGCCGAGAGGATTTGTTTTAGTTATCCAGGAAATTGGTTTAGTATTTTAGATGAGCAGGTAAAATTCTTGTACCAAATTCTGTAATAATAGCCAATGGAAAAGTTTCGTTCACTATAAACATCTAAAAAATAGTTCTATTATTTGACAGTTATACCAAGACCAGATTTGCATTGAAACCCATTACTTACTTATTTATTATAATAGGTCAAGTAAAAATCCATTATTTGTATATAAAATTCAAAGCTATTTTAACCGATTTATTTCAAATAAGCACCATTTTTTTTCTACAATCGATTGCCATTTTGATGGTAATTTCATGATACCCGTCTCATAAAATCCTTCGTCCTTATTTGCAAAAAACGGAGCCATCTATTCTTCAAATAATGGATTACTTTTTACTTGACCTTTTATATTTTACTCTATTCCTTAGCAATACAAAAACATTGAATTGTTAGCAATGTTTTCATTAACCAATTTCAGTGAAGTTTAGAAGCATTTTCCTTACCTTTCCATTTCCTTGGGATCCGTGGGGTAGCCCCTGCCAATCAGGTTCGTCTCGAAGGGATTCTCGGTGGTGAAGCTGTTCGCTGGCACGGGAGTTGTCGTTGAATAGTCGTAGCCCCTTCTGGCTGGAACCAGTGGAGGAATGGTGCCCAGGCTGCTGCCAAAGCCGGGACTCGCAGATCTCCTATTCAGATTCGGCGGTGGTGCGGTGGTGCTGACCGAAGGCACGAAGGAGTAGCCCCTGCCCCGCTCCCTCACCCCGATGAACTCCACATCCTGGGTGTTGTCCTCGCCCTTTCCGGCTCTCGATGACGACGGCATCGGCGGTGGAGGAGGACCGAACGTGTTGGTGAGGATATTATAAGTATTATAGTCCCATTCGGAGGGGGTTCGCGACTGGTGGAGGCGTCGTGTCTGCACTCTATTATAGGGATTATGTGGCTGAACCCGCCGTAATCGGGTGACCTCCTGCATGGTGACCCCGGGCAGCAGCTCCACATCCGATTTTGCCTGATTTAGCGACTGTAGTCTCCGCTGCTGCCTGAGATTTGTGGGCAAGTAGTTACCCTGATGACGCGTTCGATGGCCGTGACCATGTCCTCGATGGGTTCGGTTCTGGTGCGGACTAGTGGCGTTGAGTCCGCCACTCTGTGCACCTGACGCCGCTGCTCCCAGCAGCAGGATTGTGCAGCAGAGCAGCAGGAAGAAGGTGGGGTAAGTCACTTCTGGCATCTCGACGGTGATGTCCCGCTATCTCAATTCGCCCGATGGCACTGCAAATGAAGTAAAAAAGAAAAGAGCCTGACTTTATTAAGTGCTGAACTTGTTTCTTCATTGCGAAAACCCCATCCTCCGCCCGACTACATTCACTTTCGTTCTCATTCAAATTCCTAGGCATTTTGCACGCCTCGCTTAATGTAAGCAATAAGACGGATCCAGCAAGACGGCCCTCATTAGCGATTCCTTTGTCCGACGGAGCGCCGACCTGTCTGTCCATCATCGGGTAATTGAAAGGTAGCATAAACGTTTTAACTAGATTCCGAACTGAGCCGCAGGATCACCACGCAACCAAGATGCACTGTTCGCAAGTAAAACTGATTGGAACATTACTTCGATTGCCATTTTAAAAGATTTTCCTGCTCTAATAAAACTATTATAAAGATGAGTACGTATGTTATTGATTTCTCAGGCACTTAAGGCATCTTGAAAAGGTGTTAAGGAAGTGAGATGGTTTTTCGAACCCAGTTCTTGATGGGGCCAACGGTTTTCACGGTCGAGTGGCCAACACTTCCAAGTTCGGTTCGAATTTTTTCAGCCCAGGGACAAAGGCAATTTGTTCAGCACAGCCGACGATGATGACGGTGACTGTGATTATTATTCTTATTTTTGTTTTTTTTTGTGGCTGGCTGATAAATCACAGGGCAAACAAAAAGAAAAGTAAACGCGTTAACAGTTAACCGGCAGGAGCTGCCAAAACGTGAAGCAAAGTGGAGTGAACCGAAGCCGGAAGCGAAAAGTGCATTAATTTTGGCTTTGTTCAGGGGCATTTTTCAAAATTTCACGCACTGCGGGATTGTGGAGCAGTGGCATCTCATTTGTCAGGGACGCACCACCCGCACCACTTGCACCACCCTAACATATAAAAAAGCCATTACTGCAATTGCTCAGTGAGCTTATTAATATTCATTGCTGCCACTTGAATTTACGATTTCGAACGCCCAGCTCATTAAAGTGGATCTAACATGTGTTTGGTCTTATTTTTTAATTTTTAATAACTTTACACTGTTACTAAACGGTTCACTCTATTTTTTAAGATTTTCATTCATATGAAGCAAGCATAGTAATTTAATATAAAATTGATTTTAGGCATGCCTAACATTTAAGTCAAACAAACACTATGGTTCTTTTTCATGTAGTTATTTAAGCTGTACACAATTTTTCTCTCAGTGTACACGCAATTGAAAAACTCCGAAGAACTTTTGATGGGTTCAAATGACAGCCATCCGGAGTCGTCATTAACATTTGATGTGCTAATTAAAAAACACCAGCCAAAGATTGGGAATTGAGAAATTGTATGCGAGTAAAGTGGGGAAAATGTGGCAAGTCCGACCCTTTTCTCGGATGCAACTTGTGGCGCAGCAAAGGAGCTGGGGCAGTATCAATCAGGTGTGGTTTTAAGCCGCTTAGTAAGTGAAACCCTGAAGGCCCCTTGGGCTCGACTGCCACTCAAATGACTGCCAAATGTCAGACCCAACCCCCAACCAACCAGTTGTCATAACTCTGCAAAAGTTCCGAGAAATGCAAAATCGCAAAAAATGGTAAAAAGGTTTTCGGGCGCCGCCACAAACTTAATCGAGACTGCAGACAGACAAACCAAAAAAAAAAAAAAAAAAAAACAACACAAAATGAAGCCAAAGAGTTAAAGAGATCCAAGCAGAGGGAAAAACAACTTGATTCCGCTGAAATCTAAGCCGCGTTGACAACTCGCCTTGACCTTGCTGGATTGCCAAAAACGGTCAGCCCGGAGATAAATCAAATCGCGCGGCGTTCGTCTGAACCCGAAAAGGTGGAGATATAGATATATTATATATGTATATATATACCTAAAGCCAGCCCACAACCGATCGGCGGATATATTTTGATATATTTGTAATTAATAGATGGCGATGCCTTAGAAATTATTTATGAACGATCGTTCGGGTCGCGGTTGCAGTTTAGCTGGAATTTATTCATAAATTCTCCTTCCTCTGTATGCTGTAGGTCCAGAAATTAGTGTGTGTTAAATGTTATTGATTCGTTTTCCCAGCACATAAATCACGGGCTAAATACTTCTAGGGGCGCGGAAAGAGTAGGGAAACGGCTGCAGCCTCCTCGGCGGAAAAGTGTCAACTTTATTTCTGTCACCCTGACAAGACACGGACTCGGTGGGAGTATCCGTAGAAACTATATATATATATATCTGTATATGTATCTGCAACTGTGAGCTGACCCAGACATGAGCTATGGCCAATGAATCACCAGAGATGCGTACAAGCACAAATGTATCAGGCAATTTGGGGAAGCTGTGGGATACGGTGGGATCTTGATATGAGGTAATCTAATCTTAAGCTCCTCGAACTATGAATCAGTGTCCAAAAAAAAATAAAGATCTTAGCAAATAAATGAGAAACGTTCAAAATAAAAGTGAATGATATTTATGATTTATATTTAAAATCAAAATAAATAAATAAAAACATTTGCAAGAGAAAACTAAAATACAATTGAAATTCTTTTTTTATATATGTAAAGTATTGAGATTCGTTCAAAATAAAAGTGAATGATGTTTATAAGTTATATTTAAAATCAAAATAAATAAATAAAAACATTTGTAAGAGGAATCTAAAATACAATTGAAGTTCTATTTTCATACAGGTAATACAAAAATACTTTATATCGAATTCATCCTGTTTTCTGACTCTACAAGCTTGCTCCCCAGCAACATTGCCTGTGTCTCATTTCTATTTGACATGTTTTGGTTGTCGTAGGAAATAGTTGTTGGGGAAAAATCACCAGAAATGCCCCCCATTCCGTTTTATTAATAACAATTTTGCATTTCGAAAATAAATCATGCAAGGAGGCATGACTGAAACTGCACCAATTACTTAATTAACGCAATCATTATGGAAATGGTACGTTATTTTCGGATACTCCTCGGTTCTCGAATCTGTTTACTCGTGTTCAATGGCGTGTAAATTGATCATCTTTCGATGTTATTCGGGCAGCGCTGTAATTTAAATTAACAACTTCTCCGACAACCAGCCATTTAAATGTTAATTAAATGCCTCGGCCTTTCCCTCTTTTTTTTAAACATTTTTTTGTGCAATTCCAAACAGCTGCCACTTTAGCATGCGTTTTTATTTATGTTTTGTGTAATCGGGGCCGCTCCTCAAGTTCTTATAAAGAGATAAACTAAGAGCTTAACGCCGCCTGCCGAGGAGATCCCCCAACAACGAGAAATTGTTTGGAAACTGTGAATTTTTTTATGGCGGCCCGAGGAAAACTCGAATTTTCCAATTTGTTGCTGTTGCAAACGCTTTCAGCGCTGCTTTTATTAACATTATCTGGACAGCCGAGATGGGCCGCAAAATGCCTTAGATCTCGGGAAAACTGCACTAGATGATCGCACCTAGGGAATTGTGTGAAAATGGGGGAAAATCAAGGAGGAAAGCCACCCACCGCTGCCACAGTTTTCACGCAGCTCTGGGGTTCAATAACCGAACATAACGGAAGATTATCGAATATATCTATCTGATGGATTGCCAAATATTTGCCGTGGGGCGAAGGGGGGGGGTCGGGGTTACACATTTCATTCATTCCCCCGCTTTGTTTATTGTTCTGGCTGACGGGTTCGTCGTCGTTTTTCCCACGACAGCCAAGACAGCCGAGATGGGTAGAAAAATCACGGCCAGCACAGCCAAATGTTAATAGTGTGTCGCAGGCAGGCCATTTGATAGTATATTTCACATGCTGTTTTATTTCTTCTGTTGATATTGTGTCGCTGTCTTTAATATGCAAAATCATGACACATTTGCCCGGAGTTTGTATCTCGTTTACTTTTGACGTTCCCGCCCCTCTATCTCTGAAAATGTTTTTACTTTTTAACAAGATCAACAAGCTGGGAGCGAGGTGGTCAGCGGAGTTGGGGGATCGGGGGGGCTAAAAGGGGCCACGGGTCGGTCGATCGCAGCTTTTTGTTTACACTCTACTTTCAGTCCAATTAAAGGAATGCTGTTGGCCTTTGTTGTTGCGTTGCTTCCCTAACAAAGTCTGAGATGAAAAGCGAAAACTATGCAACATGTTAAACATCGACAGTTTGACATCTCGAAACCCCTGCACTCCAACACCCCTTTAAAATACCCAGAGAAAAATATATGATTTAATGGATATTGGCAAAATATAACTTTACTACTGTTAAGGATTAAAAATGTTATAATATTTATTTGATAATTTTTATCTAATCAAGCTCTTGAAACTGGTAAACTGTTTTTATTTGCATAAAATTCAATAAATATTTTTATTAAATGCCTATTTATAATATTAAATTTATCTGATATCCCATAACATTCAACATTTACAGTGATTGAGTAATAATTCATCCATCAATATTCGGGTTATAGTTCTTTTTTACTGCACAGGGCTCGCAGGCAAGTTCAACTTCAAATGCGAAAACTCATTTCAATAACAATTGCAAAGACCCAAAAAAGGCAAAGGAAAAACTCGACAGCGGCGCTCAATTTGCTGGTGTGTCTTTTGCTAATTGCTTTGCAGCTGCAAGGGGGCGAAGGCCACGCCCACACGTGCCCCGTAGTCCCGTGGTCCCGTTGCCCATATCCCCGCAAAGCTCACGGTGACCCCAGACTTTGTTGGGGGGACTTAGCCAGACAAAAGACATAAACCCAGTTACCGTTAGCTGCGTAATTTATGCAAATGACTTTGGTTAATTAGCAAGGCGAAGGAAAAACATGAGACTCGTTGGACATGCGCCACCGGCAAACTTCCCCCCTCGGTGGCATTTTCCACAATAATATTTGTACGGAGATTATGATAGGCAGGAAGGCACGATCGCACTTGGACGGATCGTGCCCCAAACTTCCAATTTCGATTGCGCACCTGTCGAGCGATATGTGTCAAAATGCAGAATAAAAAACAAGTAACTTAAGCCCTTGCGAAATTGCTTTCCCAGCAAGGCAAAAAACAATGGAAAGTATTAATAAAGTTATTCAAATTAGCTGCGTTTTCCGCTTTTGTCACATTATTTAAACAAATGCGTGATGGTGATAACGTCATAAAATTAGCATATTCACCTAATGTGTTGATATAAAAATGGGCAAGGCATTAAAATGAATGGCTTATCTAGGGTAAAAATTATTTAAGATTAAAATAAAGTTTATAAAAGGCTAAAGAGATCTCGAAGAGAAAAGAGTTTGCTTTGATTACACTAGATTCAAAGAAAACACTCCTAAGTAATAATCAAATATGCAAATAAAATATAATTGTGTCTTGATAATTCCTAAGCTTATCAATCTAATTAATTATACATGAAAAACTACTTATATTGATCTACAAGTATTTAACAACATTGTTTGAAAGTTCACACGATAATTAATTCTTAATCCGTTTATGGCATTGTTTGGCAGTTAAGGCACATAAATGAAAGACACTTCGCAAGACAACTTAGTTAGCCGCACCATAAAATGCAAATTGCGTCCACAAGTGACATGTAACTCCTAGACAGGATCGGTTATGGGATTTCGAGCAAGATTAATGCACTAGGAAATGTCTCACGTCGCTTGACACACATTCAATTCATAAATAATTGCTATTAATTAACAGTATTTGCATGCGACTTACACTCGGCAAGCAAATTCCAACTGACCCGCGAGTTCAATGCGGTAGAAGAAAATCGGAGATAATCGTGGCCAGATTATATTTGCCTTATTTGAAGATGCCTCCTCTGGCACACAAATAAATCAAAACACAATTATGTCAAATTGGCAATCACAAACAATAAATTGAATTGAGTTTTCGCGCTGACATTAAGCAGATACGCGGCATTTGGCTTTTTTGTAAAATAAATTATATTCAAGATCGTGAATGTGGCTCTTAAATATTTATTTATAAAATTAACGAAGGAGCACTGTTCCTCGTCTGCTTTTTTCCCGGATTCTGCGTTAGCCGCTTCCGTATGCCAGTCGAAAAAAAACGAACAAACTCGCTGCGATTTTCGAGATACAATTTTTTAATTTCAGCTGGCGCGGCGGAGCTAACACAAAAGCAAACCGATCGCTTAGAAGTCCCGAGACGAACTGAAAATGCACGGCCGAAACCGAAAGTCCAGTTAACGATCGCCGATCAGCGGCGCTGGCAGTGCTGTCAGTCGATGGGGCCGAAAATCGTATATAACAAATTCAAGTTCCCGAAAATCTGTAAATATTTATCAATGGATTTCCCAGACAGATTGTATAAAAATGATTAACCCATATTTTGTTTATTTATTGCTTTATCTTGAAGTTGAGATTGTTATTTCAATAATTGTATTTCCGTAAACATATATTGATGAACAATTTATTTGGTAATACTGCAATTACAAAGAAAACGAGAAGCTTATCACCTTTGTTAAACTGTGATTTATTTCTGATATTCTTACCTTTTTTTGGAATAATTGAAAAAATGAGAAAAATAAGTTGGTATTTAAACTATTTTTATTATTTAAAAATTTCAATGAGAAAGTGTGCAGCTCACGTTTAATTTAAAAGTCAAAAGTTTGACCCATGTTTGCAATATAAAAAGCATACAACAAAGATATTATGTTTATAAAAACTTCTTTTTTTAGCTTGAACAAATAAAAGCCAACTGATCAGCACTGTCAGACGAGTCGAAGCCCAAGTTCGGTGCACATTCGCTGGTTCGTTCAAACGAAATTGGACCGATGGGGCCGAAGTTGGCTTCCTTTGTTCGATGCAACTGGAAAGCGGGATGGATTCCCCAGGCGGACGACCTCGAGGGGGTGGTGGGTGGTGGGCGGTGAACGGTGCAGTGGGCAGGTATGCCCTCGGCTGGTCGTTGGCTGGTTTTTGAGTGCGTTACAGCTGTTTTGTTTATACGCGAACGCCGCGCCCCCGCTCGCCCGCCCACCTCCACGGTTCAAACTATTTGGAGTTTGCGGTTTATGCTCTTTATGGTCCGCCGTTGTTGTTCTTGCAGCCACTGCTGCTTTTGTTGCTTCTTCTCCGGTCGGTGGCAAGTTGTTAAGTTAAATATTTACCCGCCGCTGCCGGGCAGCCAGTTTAGTGCACGGCTCGCTGATCTTTCACATGGAGAATCCGAGAGCTCAGAACTCGTTTGCAGCCCTTCTGACCATATCGGGTGCTGGATCTGTCGTTGTCATCATAAAAGTGCTACTGTCAACAGCACTGGAAAAATGTTTTAAAAATGAACATTTGCTGCAAATAATAAATGTAAAAATTCTATACAGATACAGTAAACAAATTTCTACTCTATGCTTTACATACAAATTACATTAAAGAAATATAAAAATTCTATACAGATTACAGATACTTACGAATTACATAAATTACACAACAAGTTTATTAAATATTCCTCCTTTTTATTAGTTCCCCTTTGAATTGTTTGAGTAATATTTCAAGCACTTTTCTCCGAGTGCCTTGCCACGTACTATTAGCCAGTGGCAATGGAGCAGCTGCCCACTGCCTAAACGCTGAGCACGTTGGACATGTCGAAAGGATTTGCGCCTGCGCAGTGAAAGATCCAGCAGTCAGCAATCGTCTTTGGCTATCCCATAAACTGGTTACACATTCCCCAGCCGGCAGAATGGTCATAAATCGAACAATGTGCCTGCCATTGACAGTTCGCTTAGCTGCACAAAGGTACGGTCTTCTTTTATCATTATGCATGTTTCTTGGGTTTCCTCTCCGCCGGCCATCACAATTTATTGGGCTATTAGTTGCCACTTGAGTGGGAACTTTGGGGAACACCCACGCCGCGATCCCAAATCAAATTCGAATAAAGCATAAAAGCTGATAACAAAAGCCAGGTACCCCGCTCAGACAATTAACTGATAACAATTCATTAGCATTTCGTGTGGGTTCCCCATCGGCATCGTCATCGCCGTCATCGTCATTATCACGACCATTTTCATCAGCTGCTGCAGCTCTGATTTGAGTCTTTTCATGGAGTGTTTAGCTAATTTGACAGCCGTTTGATGAGCCACAACGCGCAGCCAAATTGTATCTTCTTTAATGGTTTCAAATATAAGGTGGGTGGCAGCATGGAATTAATTTTGTCATGGACAATCTTCTTAGGAGTGGAGTGTGACAGAAAAATAAAACAAAAAAAACATTTTTTCTAAATGAAAATACTATTTAAAATTTAAAATCTATAAAGGTTATTTGGCAATAAAATATGAGTTTATATGGTAAATTTATAATTGACCATAAAATATATTTTATAAGTGTGATTCACTTAAATTGACACGAAGCTAAAGTGTAAAAACGATTTCAAAACAATAAAACTATCTAGACTCATTAAACAAATCTTTATTGCAATTTTAAGAAGATAAACCCGAAAACTAATTCTGAATATATATTGCTCAAATTCACAACAAGATGTTTATCGGTGTGTCAGCACATTTGTTTGATTCTTGGCCGTAAAATCGTAACTGTCATGCATTATCCATGACTTGCATCTGAGTTGGCTTGCGTTTTCAATTGGGGTTTGAATTCGCGTATGGGGTGGGGTCGCTTGACCAGCAGTCGTACGATCGTGCCTCAATTTGGGGCAATGTGCAGTGTCACCTGGTGGGTGAGAACGAAAGACAAAAGGGGAAAATGTGAGGCCAAGACACATGGCCATAAATCCGAAGCGAATGTGTCAAGCGCCAGGCGAATTTTCCAACAAATTCTCTGAAATGTTCTTTTGACACTGTCGGCATTCCAACAACCCCAGCAACCCCATAATTTATATGATCACGCTTTTCCGAGGCGATTGTTGACGGAAGCGCACGAATCGCCATGGCAAATTGCAACGCAGCGACAAAAGTTGAATTCGCCAACTTGCCAACTTGAAATAGTCAAATGATGATCCGGCCAGGCAATCGATCGTAGACTGTTCGACGATCGCTGACCTTCAGGCCTTATTAAGCCGCAACTTCCAGGTTGTTAAGGATAAACAGCATAACCGTCTGATGATGATACATTGATCATGTTTCGCATTAATGAGGCGATAATTTAATTGCTACTTTGCTAAAGCATCTATTGTTAAATCTTAACAGAAATGGAGTTCCACTTATGTACATAATATTTACAATAAATTAAATTTGAAGTAAGATGTTCTATATTAATGGTTTTTAGTTGAAATTTTTTGCAGGTTTTGTCAAACTAAATCTCATTTTAAATCTTGCTTTTCTTTTAAACTCAAATTTCGTCATAGAGTTAGAGAAGGTCGAAAACAAACGACACACACACTTTAGTTGTAATCAAAATTTTTCCAGGCCAATAATGCATCAATTCGCCTTCTGGAGAAGCGAGGTAAAGCCGCGCCAGCTCGATCAGGTCTCGCCTATCTGGAAGGAGTTGAATGCAACATTTGTGACGTAAGATGGGAATCGGAATGGGATATCCTCATACTCAGATCACTTCAACCTATTTACCACATAGTGTCCTCAGCTGGAGTTGGCTTATTTACACCCTGTCCGCTTTGGTAATCCTAGTGTGTGCATATTTTGCATATTGCGAGCGTTGTCGAAGGTCTGAGTCAGTGCGCCGTCGACGGGTTATTCAGAGAGCTCAGGAGAGGTCTGATAATTGTTTACTTTTTTTAAGATATAAATTGTTCCTAACTCTTGTTCAAGACCCCCACAGAAACGCCGACCAAATGCCGCGTACCGGGATCACCAGATTTACCGGCATATTATCCTGAGCGTGGCCAAGTACATGAAGAATCCGGAGGGCATTCGTCCATTCATAGAGCACATGGACCAGCTATATCCACTACGTCATCCTCTGGCCGATCAGCAGCAGGTGGCCGAGCTCTCACTGAACGTTAACGATGCGGAACCAAATGCAGGAGAGGATTAAGTTGGTCAATCCTAAGCTAAAGCTTTCTTTTTTTCGGCGATAAATTGGAGAAATACATTTGACAAAATAGCAATTTGACAAAAAAAAAGTTTGATTTCTTTTTAAGTTCATAAAGAAGTGCAAACCTTGCTTCTAAAATATTACAACTATAGCTTGTGTTATCCTGTATAATCCTGAACTATTTTAGTTAAATATACCTTAATAAATTTAATAATAATGCACTCCATCCATTTTGTTTAAAACAACTTGGTGCTGAAATAAATGGCCCAACTGCACTTAGAGCTAGTAGATAAATTAATTAGCTAAACCAGGCTCTTGCCAACGATTTTTGGGGCATGCGCAGTGTTGCATTCTTGTTGGCGGTGCCTAAAAATATGCAGTGCTATTTTTACCTGCCACAAATATAAACAAACGCCATGTGCGCGGCGGAGCTTTCAGCTGGGGAAAGCTCACTGTGCGTGAGAGCAAAAATTTCAAACTTGGTTCACTGCGCGCCGTGTGGCATGCAACAGTTTTGCAGCCATAAACCTTCAAGATCTTAATAAATTATTAATAAAATTATTAAACTAAACAGAAATGTAATTCAGTATTTTAAAGATATTTTCCTTTCTTTTTTCTTTTTTCTTCGTACAATGTTTTCCCGTTTTTTTTGGCAAAAGCTTTCTCTCACTTACTCTCTCTCTGCTCCTGTTGCTGCTTTCCAGCTAAACGTGGCCCGCTCTCTCTTGGCCGAGTTCTCGGGGCGTTAGCAGCTGAGAAGAAAAGCGATGGAAAAGCGGAAAACAGTTGCCAGTTAGACAGTGAGCGCGTCGCACCTTCGCACGCAACGAAAAGATTCAGCGGCAGCAGCAGCAGCGCGTTCAGTGGTTGTTGTTGTTGGAAACGGTGGAAACATACACACACCCACACACTGTCACACGGGCAGACACAACACCAACACACACACATCAAAACACCCACACACACAAACACTCACCAACACGCGGCCAGCAAACACAATTTTCAGTTGGCCAAACCAAAAAACGAAAAGTTTGTTCATCCTTAATCTTTTCGTTTTGCCCCGCAATCAAATGTTGAAAATTGGAAAATTCGAAGCCCAAAGTGAATGCAATTAAAAAGTGAAATTTACGAGCTGCAGGATAATTGAAAAATCAAGGCGCACACCTGCGCACATGTCTGTGAGAGGGTCCTGTGTGTATGTGTATCTGTATCTGTGTAAAGGCGCCTGCGGCTGTATGTGTGTTGAAGGCTAAGCAGAATCAGCAGCCACGAAAAAGCCAACAAGTAAAGCGAGAAATAAAAGTTGCATGTGCCCCGAAAATTGGAAAATTGAAAATGGAAAATTGCCCGACCACAAATGAAGTCAAAAGTGAAAAGTGACAACGTTCAAACAATATTTCAAGCCAGCAAAGCCATAAATTCCACCCCTCCAAAATTATCTTATCTGAAGAGAAATCCACTTAATTATACACCACCAAATGCATGCATTAAAATATTATTTGATTGATTTATTAGTGAATAAACGCGGCTCAACTTTTCTTTGAGGGCGGCCGACTTTGGTTAGATACAAATATCTTAAGCCCACATTCATCTAGATATCTTACAGTTCATGCCTGTTGCAGCCAAAGAGTTAGCAAACAAAGTGATAAAGACAAAGTGTTCAAGACAAAATGTAATAAATATTATTAAATATACAAAAACCGAATTAATTACTCGATAACTAAACGCTAAACTGGAAATCGGAGCAATGTCAAGGGACAGATCTCAACAGGATGTCCCGTCTAAGGTGAGTAGCTTTAAACCGGAGCATCAAGTCGAGCTTTGCTCCAGACGCATCCTACCTCAATACAAAAAGGATATTTGGGAGGAAGTTGGGAGAATGAGCGAAAGAGCAAAGCAAAACATAAACATCCCCGAAAAGAGCGAGTCACTAGAAGTGATGGTTAGGAGGAAAGTGCCGGGAAACACTGAGATAAATTTCATTTAATTTAATCCTAAGTTTTGAAAACTAAACTTTATTATTTCTAAGTAAAACGTATATTCTATTCTGCAATGCAAATCAAAGTCTGGTTCGGTTAAAACTATAATTGTTTGTTTCTGATAAAGAATTTTAAAGAATAGTTGAACTTTATTTCTTTGCGTGCACTCTGCTCCCTTCTTCTCCTATCGGAAATGCTGTGCTGTTCTCCTCCTCTTCTCTATGTGCTGCCCTTCGGTGCTGATGTAGAGATACGAAAATAGGCAAAGTTGGGCAAAAAACCAACGAATTTCAGTTGGAAAGCTCAATGCAAAGAATGCCAGCGTTCGCAGCATTCGTTGGGGATTAGCCAAAGCCAAAGACTTTGCGCAAATACTGAAAAGCTCGGGCTCAGCGCATCATTTTCCACGCAAATTTCGTTTGCGAAAATTTCAATTTATGTGTAGCATACAGGATTTGCAGGATATGTACACACATACATACGTACATACATATATGTTGCCTGCACCAGCCAAGATTATGTATCTGTAACTCGGTCGCACGTTACACGCTTGGCTGTAGGCTGTTTTTTTTTTTTGTCTCCCCCCTTTATTGACTTTGTCGTTTTATAGGCAATTTGTCTTTTGTCGGCCGTCGATAGCTTTTGCTGTGTCATAAAATTTCGCGCCAAGCCAGAGCCCGTATCCTTATCCTTATCGGCGAGGACCGGGCTCAGACGTGGTCTCCTTTCCTGCCAAGTTGTTTATTTTGTCGTAAATTTGCCTTCAAGGACGCGACACACCGCACAAACCCATCCGCCCATCCGCCCACCGCCCTTTGCCCCGCCACATGGCCACTTTATCGATCACACAATGGGAAATTTCACACGTTGTCCCAAAGGGCTGCCAAATGGCCAGAAAGGTACAGTGGTCCGTCGGTAGACGTTTCAATTAATTTATTCTACCTAATTGCAGGGTAGCTTCTAGTTTTTTTAAAGTTCATTACTCATAGCCTTCGTAAATGTAGTCAATAATATTTTTTACTAGATTGCATTTGCTATACAAAGTTCAAGGGAATATACAATATTTAAAGAAAAATATATTGACTTAATAACTATTGTCATTTCTAACTGAATCAGGTTTGAATTACACTTATTATCTAACACAATGTTATAAATTGTTTTATTTTGCTTTTAAACCCTTCTTCTGGTTAATTCTAACAAATAGGTCTCTATGTTTTCCAACCAATTCCCTTATCCAACCAGTATTTGTTACAAAAAGAAATCCCTTGTGTTGCGTGGCGTTCCGTTGCTCGTCTTTAATTACGTGTGCTGCAATTGGCAGCCTCAAGGTCGTTGTCGTCTTTTGCATAATTAAGGGTCGCCCACCGCTCTCTCTCTGCCTCCCTTTCTCCCCATCCACCAAACACAGACCCCCAATCTCTCGCTCGCTCCGAGTGGCTTTTGTTCTGCTGCACAGTTTCTGAATAATGCAATTGACGCGGGCGTGTGGGCGCTGACACAGTTGCCATTTTTCACACATGACCAACCGGCAGCGAGCAGCCAGAAGCCGGAGAGCCAGCAGCAACTAGCAACCAGCAAGCAGCAACCAGCAACGTGCAACCAGCAACCAGCAACATGCAACACTCGCCGCATGTCCGGCACTCGAGTGCGATTGCCATTGCATACTTCAAGGCTGGCCGTAGTCTAATTTACATGCCAAATGACGCTGCTCTCGCCTTTTGCTCTGCATTTATGGCTCGTGACGTGCGATTGTCCGCCATCCTTTCTTCGCCGCTTTGTGTTGCGACACACGTATTCAATTAGTGCGATAAAGGAAGCAAAACGCCGCAGCTGCTGTTGCCCACACATTTGCATACGAGAGTGGGGGAAATTCAGGAGTGGCCAGCAATTGTTGGCCAATTTTACCCTTGAACTGAAACTGGAGCATTCACCCTAAATAAATTCTTGAAATATTATTTTTCATGACTTGCTTTGATTACTGCTTTATGAATTAAATGAGATGTGAATAATTAATAATGTTTCGATACTTTTCTTTCAAGTTTTTTGTTTTTTTTATCTTTAACATGGTTTAAACATATTTTTTATAATCTGATTAACATTAAGTAAATTTGGAATTTTAAAGTAATTAATTTTGGTTATTCAACAATTCCTCCTGAAAGAATTTGACCACATTATGTACATATATTCACAAATTTATATCTTGTTTGATTTATGGCCACAACGTGTCTGCAATTGGCAAATGTCGCGTGGTTTTTTTGTTTTGCTCGTGGCAACGACGAAAGAAATTTTGGAACTTAAGAGGTGGTTTTTTGGCGGCTTTTTGGTTTGACAAAAAATAAATAGCAAAACAGATGAGGCAAACAAAAAGGCAATGCTAAATTTAGATGTCTCGAAATAAAAACAACAATTTGAAAGAACGTATATATCAACATTTTTTTATATGGTAATGACTAAGAGATACTCTTTTAAGAGGAAGAAAATAAGTTGGAATAAACATAATAATATATATTACCAAGTCTTAAACTATTTGTGATAAATTTTTGTTAAAGTTGTCGGAAGTGTGCCATTATGTGTCGCCTATACCCCATAAACTATCGCAATTTGTTTTCCCACACACAAAAACAGCATTTTTCTAAATGAAAAGAAAACATTTTAACCAAAACGGGCAGAGAAAAACAAAATAAACGCTGGTCGATGGCCGGCCTAAATGGACACACCCACTCAGCCTAAATTCCCCACCACTCCCTTGTTTTTCCGCGCTCAATTTTCCCCCCCTTCCTATTCGCCCACCCACTTTTCTTTCGAATGTGAGCGTTTCCTTTCACCTCCTTTCACGCACACACAAATCGCAACTCTCTGTTTGTCGAGACCATCGTCGTCTAATTAGTTGTGGGCTGTGACCGCCTTGATTTATATATTTATGATGGGCGTGGCCCTGGGCTAGTGCCAACTAATTGCCGCCAGTAATGGGGGTTACTCCATTCCTCATCCAATCCTGTTGGTGACCCTCGAAGAGTATCTGCTCCTTCCTTCGATACGGATACGGATACAGATACAAAATCGTTCACAGATACAGACGCTAATAAGTGTGCATTTGGCAGCTGCTGCCAGCAAATTGGTTAAATGTCAACCGTCCGCAGAGCTTCCGTCTCAATCCCGACCAGACTTGGCAGCTCTTTCAGCGTCAGTTTGCACATCGGGCCAATAAATTGTAAATGAAATACAAGTAACAAGGCAGCGGATAAGCCTTGTGTGCACGGGGAAAAATAGTCGAAGAAGATTTAGAAATATATTCAAATATATATTTAGAAATATACATAATTAAAATATCTATTGGGAACTTTAAAAAGATTGTTATCGTATCCTAATCAAACCTTTTTTTAATTCGTTTATAAAAGATACCATTTTTTTATTTCTTAAAGGCTTTATAAAGGGCGTTCTGCTTTAACATGATAAAATTATATATAAAACATTTAAACAGAACTTAAATATCAACCATTGAATATATATTTAACATGATAAAAAAGATATATGAAACATTTAAACATAACTAACTTATCAACCATTGAATATATAAACAAATCTAAAATATGTTATATTTTTAACGTAATGCACAATATTAGTTGTTTTTTCTCCAAGTACGTGCATGAAAACCGCACCGTCATAATTCTCCTTCCCCCTTTGATTCTAGTCTCCTCCCCTTTGCTTATCAATCAGACAGCAAATAACAGCAACAAATAAACAAGTTGCTGCAGCGAGGGTGGCAACAACAACAACAGCAACAAAAACCGCGGAGCGAGCAGAAGGCATGGCGGGGATGACAAATTGATGCATTGCCGTATTGATTGCCCGACTGGCTTCGCGATTGCCACTGCCACAATACAATGAACGCCTTGGCTGAATGTCAAGTCGCAGCATTGAAACGAATTTCGTGTCGGGTTTTTTTTTTATTGATCGATTGTTCCAGTGCTTGATTGAGTATAAGTGTGTGTGTGTGTGCACGGGGGCGTGTGTGTGTATATGGGTAAAACCGGTATCAGGAGCCAATACAATTGTCCTTAGCGTCGAATGCCGCCAGTCTTATTTATTACGCATACGTCACGTTGTCAAGAGGGGGAGGCGGTGCGGAAAGGAAAGGGAAAAGGCCAGCCCATGACTGTGACCTTGCCAGTTGCAAACGTCTGCAAACCCTTGCAATTCTCGTTATTCAAGCCATTCTGCCACTTTCAAAAAGGAAAACTTTCGACCAAGGGAAATCAGAATTAGTGAAGCGCATTCGAGGGCCCCGAAAAAATCCAGCAGGGGAATAAAACAATATAAAACTAAACACGCGCGCGACGCCAAGTCGCTGTTTGTCCTTGGCCCGTGCCACGCCCCCTCTCGCATTGGCTCTATCACCGCCCCCACAACGCAAAATTGGCCCAAATAAAAGCGTTGCGTATACGACATGTGGTACGGCGCTTCACAATGCGGTTTATGGCCATAACAGCGGGTAGCACGTGAATTTAAGTTGGCCCAATCACGCACCCCCCGCCGGCATTTGTTTTGAGGGCGAAAATATTCAGGGCATTTCATAGGGAAATTGGATTTTTTATGGCGTTCCTTGGCGGAGTTACTGCCTTCGGGCTGCTTATTATTATTATGCCAACATCGAGTTTCTCACAGATTACAATTTTAGCTGGCACTTTTAGCTGGGGAAGCTTTTACCTCAGAAATTGTATAATCATCTTTTATTTATTTGGAAAACCAAGCATTAGCCAAGTAATATGTACTTGGATAGTTTTATTTTAACTTTCAATTTATTGTCAATTTTAAATAAGTTTTTAAATGGTAAAATAACGCAAAGGTATTTGTATCTACATATTAGTTTTTCATCTTACCAGTAAAATATCGAATTGAACTCAATTTTTCGTGTGGTCGATCTGTTGCACTTTGCGGCAAAGTTGTCAGCTTTCTCCCAATTTAATTGCAACTTGCCTGCAGGCATTTTCGGTTTGACAAAAGTTTGCGGCCAAAAGTTTGGCTCGGTGAGCGCTGGGCGAAGCAACAGGCTGCAGGACCGCCAGCAAAGTCCTTAAGCCACTGAGTGACAGGAGCTGCCAAGTCTGGGCCTCCACCTCCCCCCCTTCCACGCCCCTTCCTTCCACTCAAGGACGAGCATTTTCAGGCATATGCGACATCTGACATGCGTAAGCATAAATTATGCAGGCGCCGCAGCAGATGCACTGAACAAAACAGGTGGCCGGAGTAAATACGGCGAATAAAATAGCTGCTGGGGCAATGGGAATGGAAATAAAAGCCAAGGTGAGGTCATGCTTATGTAAAGACGCAGCCACGTGGATGGCGACGATGACGATGACGTGGCACCCATCCGCAGCAGCCTTGCCAGCCTGTCCCACCCACTTGGCCCACCAACCAAGCAACCAAGCAACCCGCCGCCTTGCCACCCACTTTTCGTCCTGGGGCTTCCTGCCAACAACTAACGTCATCAAACGGGTATCCTTCTTGGGCCTGCAGCTCGCCTTGGCCTTTGTTGCGGCATTTCGCAATTTGTTTTAAACACGTAGCCGTCCAAAAGTTTATTTATAGCACCCGAAAGCTTTTCTCCATCCTTCGCCCTTCCCTCCCACAGATAGTATTTCCCACCTGCCTGGCATTTGGCTACGCTCTTATGACTCTGTCACATTCGAAGGCTTGCCGCCTCTGTTTGGGCTGTGTTTCGATTCGGGCCGAAAGTTGTGTTTTCCGAGGCGACATAAACACGCATGGGATACATATTTTATGGGCCCAAAAGCTGGAAAGTCTACAGAAACTGAAATGAAAAGGGGCCAGCTGAAAGTCGGGCGCAAACATGCAGAGTGTTCCGGGAATGTGGGGCAGAAACATAAATGGAATGGCTTTAAAGTTGGCCCTTTACACAAAGTACATAAATATAACTTCATGAGTACTAAAATATTTTAAAAAATTGTAAAAAGCTTTTTGCAAAAATATCAGTTAGTAGTTTGTTTCATAAGAAACATCAAATATGTACAGCCACTTACTGCACTTTATAATTTAATTTATATTTAAAGAAAACTGAATTATTCCCTTTGAAAATGTTGATCATAAAATACTCTTCCACCGCATTTATTAAACATTATTTGTCAACTGAAAATTATGAAGCTGACCCAGTTTTGTGTTTATTGCTTTCACAGCTATTGATGTTTTTATTGATGTGAGTTTCCTTTAGCATCTATCTCCAGATTTTTTAGTGTGCTCTATTTTTCATAACCCAGTTTACAGCATTACAGCATTTACAGCTTCGTTACTCTTCCAATTCAAGTGGGTCAAAGGATTTACCTTCCGACAGGATCTAAAGCTGCCCCAAAAAGCAGGCCACATATTATTTTTAATTATGCCACACGCTTAATGAGCTGCGCTGCGCTCCCCAATGGCAATCAAAATCTCATCAGCTTGTTAGCGGTTGCCTCGCAGAACAATGAATGTATTTACATAATTAATCACTGGCCGCGCTTATTGATTATACTTCCAAGAAAAAGCGGCGAGGGTTCGCTGAACCCATTTCTCCGGCAATCCGGTCTCCGGTCTTTCGAATCCGTCAGAGGGGTCAAGGGGGATGGGAGGGGGGCCACGGTACTCATTATGCGAACGGGCCCGGTTAAGTTGGCAGCAATAACAGTTATTTCAGCGTAATTGCAGTGGGGTGGACCGCAGGAAGTCATTTGCACAAATGACGTTTGCCTCTTGTCCCGTCACCAACTGCAGTGGCTTACGTAATGATTGACAATCATGGGGGGCAATGACGTTTTGCAGGGGACAGGAGCTCCAACGCAATTCATTGATATTTATCACCTGGCCAGTGTGACTGACTGTCGAACCCAAAGCGTTACCCCGTTATCGTTAATTAAATTACCAAGTCGAGCGAACGGTGGCGATGCTGGGCGCAAATGACAAACTTGTTACCTCACTCAACGACATCCCCTAATGCCACCCCCTTTGACGTCCTCCCTTTGCCACAGAGAGCCGCCCCCCGCCGATGTCTAATGGCATTTGATAATGGTGTTTGTGTTTGTGTCTGCGTGGAAAATGGCTCAATGACGTAGGAAACGCCACTAAAGGAAGCTGCGACGGAAAATCAGTGATGGCAATTAAATACTGTTTAAATTGGTTGAAGATATTTGACTGCATTATAAAAATTTATTAAAAGGGCTTAAAAATATTATTACACCAATAAATAATGGTCTTGGAGTTAATTTGTTCCGAAAGAAATAGAACATCTCAAAATAGATTTTATTGAATTCTAATTTTTTAAATTTTTTTCTATTAACAATAAAAATTTGTCGCATGAGATATTCAAATAACTTATCTACAGATTGCCTTAAACTTAATTTTAAATAAAGGGGTTTCAATTGGCTTCTAGATTAAAGCCAGGCTAACAACACTTGCAAGGGCTCCGCTAAATATAGATAGAGTGGGCGTGATCGATGACGGTGGTCCGCAAATAGAGGCCAAAGCCAGGACCCTCGAGATTTTTAACAGTTCCAGGCCCTCGAGAGACAAACGCAGTTTGAGCAGCCGGCCAGTGACAGCTATGGCTCTCAAACTGTGTCAAGTGGCACGTCAAAGTGGGTCATTGCAGGCGGGAAAAGTGGGTGGTTGTGGTCGGTGGCTGGTTGGTGGTTGGGTAGGTCTGGGTGGCTCTGAAATAGCAGGCAAGTGACGGGCCCTGGATAAGCACGCTTATGTAAAGCGTTTGTGCTGCTAAAAGGCTTTTTCCGCCTGCCGTATGTGGGATAATTTATTGATTGGCTCAAGATGGGAGATTCTGTAAACTATTTATGGAGCGCAGAAGGCATTCAATTGTTCTCCTCCTTTGTCCTTGCAGATGCGCACAATTAGCTTAAACTGACAGCAGAACGTGGAGAGGAACAACAGCAACAGCAACAACAACAACAACAACAGCCAGAATTTACAAGCAAAAGGATAATCACAATCACCATGCAGCGAAATTAAATTCCAAAGCCGACAACTAACAACCGGAACTATTATCGAACTATTTTAACAACTTACATGTAGCACAACAGAAGCCTTATAAAACAACAAAACAACATTTGTGCTGTGCTTTAATTATAGTCAACCAAAAATTACAACAACCACGAAGAGAAGCCCGTAAACCGCGTAATTATTACACATTAAATAATAATAGTAATCATTATTCTTCCAATTGCGAGTTTGAAATGTGTACATTTTTAAATCGATATTTAAACTATTAGCGAACTCTAAATACCAAAAGATATATAAACGAATAACTGTTTAACGTTCATTAATACTTAGCAAAGAGCGTTGTGAATTTAACAAAAAAAATATTAAATTAAGCGGTTAACGATCCTCTAACCTAGAGCAAATGGTACGCAATTAGTAGTTCTTAAAAGTAAGATTTTAATCCAAGCAACATTTTTAAACGAGCTTCAAACACACACACAATATTAAACACACCCACACCCGAGCAGAACCTTATCCTTAACCTTAACCACGACGGCAGGACTGTGAGGCTAACAATCAAATGCTTGGCTCAGCGCCAGAAAGTAGGCAGCAGCAGCAGAGCACACAGCCCAAAAAGTAGGCAGCAGAAAATTTATACAAATTTGGCGCCAGCGGTGGAAAAGGACGAAAAAAAGGAAAAGCGGAAAAGTAGCAGCGCCAAGGACTCCGACGACCTTCGCGTGTGCAAGCGTCGTTGCACAACAAAGGACGCCACTAACACTCCCACCCAGACACACACCCTCTCACCCACACGTACGTACACATACGGCCAAAAGGAAACTCACCTAGACACACAGAGTGCAGCACACAGCCACACACACACACACAACCAGGCCACAGGACAATTGCATGGGCGGCCGCCATGACCGGAAGTGAAGTACGGTCACGTCCACGTCCACTGGCCTTTGCATAACAATCAGCCCGCCAAGGAGCCGCCAAGAAGGTGGGCAAACGGCAGGAGAAAGGCAGGAGAAAGGCAGGAGAAAGCCAGCGAAAGCAGGTGAATCAGGAGCAGGTGAAGGAGGAGGAGGAGCAGAAGGAATAAAAAAAAAACAACGAGCACAGGAGCGCCACTTTCAACCGACAGCGGCCCGTAAAAATGCAGGAAATGAGCTACCTGCAGGATAATTCCAAGGTGGAGGCCCTCACCAAGGCGGTGCTCATATCCATTCTGGGCGTGGCCATCGTCCTGTCCAACCTCCTCATCATCGCCACCTATGCCAACTTCAAGGGTACGTTACACGAATAACATACGATTTCAGCTTTCAACAGGAACTCCACGAACGTGGTTAGGTTTGATCGGAAAAGCAATGTTTTCACAGCATCAATAAGTGAAGAAGAAAGTTTATTTTTTTAAAAGCAGTTCCAAGCTTGACTGTATGGAGAAAAAGTAAAGCAGTATCTAGTAATGTACCTAATTATTATTTCCAAATAGTTAAATTTCCCTAAAAATATTAGATCACAAACAAATCTGTGGCCTTATTTCAAGCAGATGATTTTTATTCCCTAGAATTTTTCAAAATTAATTTTTTTTGTTCACCCCAGATGTTTTAGAAAATTGGATGATTGTATAAGTAGATTAGCCCAGACTTTGTTTATAACATAATTTTAAAATTATTTATTTTATTTAATTTTTATTTGGGGAAACCTTTTACGTCACTTTTTAATGATAAATGTTTCTGCAGGCCCCACAGAGGTGATCAACTACTACCTCTTGTCCTTGGCCATTGCCGATCTGCTCTGCGGACTGCTGGTGGTGCCCTTCTCCGTGTATCCCGCCCTGACCGGAGAATGGATGTACGGGGACATCGTGTGCCGCTTCACGGGCTACCTGGAGGTCACCCTGTGGGCGGTCTCTGTTTACACCTTCATGTGGATATCGGTGGATCGGTATCTGGCGGTGCGCAAGCCACTGCGATACGAAACGGTCCAAACGAAGACGAGGTGCGTGTTACCCTATTTGAAAATGGGACCAAATTGTTTAACCATAATCTGGCATTTTTGTTGCAGATGCCAGTGCTGGATGGTGTTCACCTGGATATCGGCGGCGCTGCTCTGCTGCCCCCAATCCTGGGCTACTCGATGCCGATCGAGAACAACATGACGCACATCTGCATGCTGGACTGGGGCAATATGGCCGCGTATAGTGCCACATTGGCGATTTTAGTGTTAGGTCCCAGCCTCATTTCAATCGTACACAACTACGGCTATATCTTTGTAATGATGCGTAAGATTAGGTCCGGCGAGCCGATACACGATAAAGAATATGCAACTGCTCTGGCTGAAAATTTATCGAACCCTAGTCATATGATGTCATTCGCATTAGTCTTTGCATTCTGGGTGTCCTGGCTGCCATGGATTCTGTTGCGTCTGTATGAGGTGGTCACGGGCGATGTTATCCAAAGTACTCTTATCAACTTCGCCGTCGTCTGGATCGGCATATTGAATTCGTTTTGGAAAATTCTGATCATGACCAGTATGTCGCCACAATTCCGTATCGCTTTGAGAGTATTTTGCTTAACCATTTGTTGTAAGACTAAGGGCCGTTTGCAAGCAGAGCTAATCGGGTTGGACCCAGATGACTAGAGTTAGATTTAGATTTTCATTCTCCTCAAAAAAAAAAAAATATATATAAATCCGCAATCCCATCCCCGCCCCGCCCCCGCCCAGTAATCCGAGATCCCTTTGAGAAGAACTACAAAGTCCTGCAAGTAAAAAATTGGTTGTAACTGCATTGAGCCATTTCCTTAACTCTCTAACTCTCCAACTCTCTATCTATCTCTCGATATATTGAACACTAACTTGCCTGTTTGCCATATAGTTGCATATTTACGGGCCGTTTGGCGCTACGCGACATGCCAATGAAAGCACCTCCACAGAGCCACTGAAAAACTAAAGAACCTAAAAAAAAAACGCAACCACTCAACCACTCAACTACTCAGAACCCAACCACCATACAGCAACCACACAGAAACACCAAAACCACAGACACGTTGAAAGACATTTTCATATTTCTAGACCTAAGCTAAGCTAAGAGTTTTTAGCGTATCCAATTATGATTGATTAATTGATTGATTGAATTGAATTGATTGACGATTATTATTGTGTATTTATGAGCTTACCACGTATATACTTGTACTTAACTATAGCCATATACATATGTAGCAGCGATTCTAACTCTAATTCGTAGACAAAGAGACAATTCACTAGGCAAGGACAACATTTCCGTTTCCGGTTTACAGTTCAAACTTGCTACTATACAGATTAATATGAAAATCATAAGCTACTCAAGCAGCAAGATAATTATCTAAAGTATATACCTTTTTCAAAGTCCATATTAAGTAGCATTTAGAATTTTACAAAATCGTGTAGAGTTTACTAAACAATTTGCCAAACTTGACGACGGGCCGGAAATGAAGAATTCAAAATTCAGAACATTCAATCTTCGCACGCCTTGCGAATGCGCTTTAGAAACGGAAATCCCAGGCCCACAAAGCGAAATTAAACTCAGCCCAGCAAAAATGTTAAAGCCCAAAAAGCGAAGAAACCCCTAAAAAAAACATTTCCAATAGTTCTTAGCGATAATGATATGGTAAATAATGAAAATGAAGGATGATAGGCTAGTGTCAAGTTTCGATCGTTGTTAAAATCGACAGGTGCATGTGCTTTCCCTTCGGCCGCCCCTGAACGCTTCGATTTGGTGGGGTTCCCAACAGACTGTTGCAATTTTGCCTAGTTCCCTTAGTGGGTCAAATTCAGTTTCCCAGGCTCCGTCAGCGAAGCGTCCAGGGTCCCAAGTCGAGTGTTTGCCGTTGAGTATTGTTGTTGATCTCCAGCGTTTTCGATGATATCCCATCAGCAAACATGCCAAGGGCGAAGCCAATGAAACGAATTCGAAAACGAAACATTGTGTATATTTTGTTGTTGTACATTTCATTGACGATCTTTTGTACATTTAGTTATAGTTCGAAACTAATTTACACACCAAACGCAAGTGTTATCGATTTTTAAGTGTAAGGAAATTGTTAGAGCCGTATAAGCAGATAGAAAGGCGATTCGACAAATATAAACAATGAACGCAGTAAATAAATGCAAAAATGAGGATATGGAGTGAAGCTTTTATTTCGGTTGAAAAAGTTTTCTTTAACTGATGTTTGAATTTGGCGGCCTATTTAAAAGTTAACGTTTTCCAGCACTTGATTTGGTATTTTTCAAAGAACAAACTCGTTAAGTATTTTTTGGCCAAGAGCTGAGTTGGCAGGCCCAACGGCACATCTGATTTTACCACGACGGCTAACAACATTTGGTTTGAATTAAGTGCATTTTTATTTTACCATTCCGTTAAAGAACTCATTCCATCAAATCATGGACATGCGAAACAACGATCCCGGTGCTCTGCAATATGGAAATTTCTTCAACTATTATCAATTCAATTCGGCCTCGGAGCGCGTGAAACTTCTACCCGATAAAGATGTATGGTTACCTCCATCAGATAGTAAAGAGTCCCCCGGAAATAGTCCCTATTTCGTGCTGGATGTCGGTTGCAATTGCGGGGTGTTTACCCAACTACTATATAAGTATCTAAAGGAAAATCTTCAGAGACCAGTTAAAATCCTAGGAGTCGATATAGACAATCGCCTAATTCAACGTGCTTTGGAGGAGAATGAATCCCCGGAAGATATAAGCTACGCCTGCGTGGATGTTTTAAATGAAGAGGCTTTTGAAACCGTAAAAGGTTACCTAGAGCTTAATAAACGCCAGAAGTTCGACGTCATTTGTTGCTACTCAATCACCATGTGGATTCACCTGAATCATCACGACGAAGGCCTTCAATTGTTTTTAAAGAAACTTTCTAACTTGGCGGAACTCCTGGTGGTAGAACCACAACCTTGGAAATGCTATCAAAAAGCAGAAAGGCGTCTGAAAAAAGCAGGAGAAACTTTTCCACTTTTCTTACAACTCAATTGGCGATCCGATGTGGAGCTTCAAATACAGAACTATCTTGAAAAGTATCTAGATCGAAGAAAGATATTCGAATCAACGCCCACGAAATGGCAGCGAAAGATCTGCTTCTACAGATCCTGATTTGTGTGATTTAATAAAACTGACCAAATAATGAACGATTTTTATAGTAAGCTAACAAATTCATATAAGGCAACTTGAACAGCACTAATCTACGTTAAGCTTCCTAAAGGACCCTTCGGTTCCAAAGAGGCCTTCAAAGTCAATAGGTTTTCCCGGACGCAGACTCTCATCAGTGCCGTAATTGACATTATCGTTGAAAAAGTCGGTGTACGCATCCAGCTTCTTTTCCCACTCGGCCACAATTTCTGGCACAGTTCCATTCTCGCCGCCGTATTCCACAGGAAGGTACTTTAGCGGAATCTGCTCCGTTAATAGATCCAGTTTGTTGCCATGCACAAACAGGCGTGACTGCATCTTCTTGGACATCATGGGCTTGAACATATTGAACACCTGCTCAAAACCGGTAATGGTATTGATGAAATGCTGAGCCTTTAGACGCAGCGGAAGAGCTTCCTCTGAAAACACCGTGAACTTCTTGGCCATCGCCGGCGTCATTTGAAACATGTGCGCTGCCGTAGCTCCCTTCATATCCATGATGAAGACAATACCGTTTACATTCGCGTAGTCGTCCTCCAAGATGGCAATCTCCTGCAAAGCCTGAGCCACACGCATACACTCCAGGATGTGGTACTTCTCCACAGGACACAGGCCCATACGCCAAAGACCAATGCGAGGTCCATTTTCATTAAGTGGGGTGGGCAAATAAATGATAGCCCTGATAATATCGACATTAAAATTGGTTTTCCTTGGGTTTTGGGACCGTTCTCCTTACCCCGTTTGGTGAATCTCCCGGAATTTCCCCTCCGTCGTGCTGGTGACTCTAAAGAATTCCGGATATTTCGTCTTCAGCGTGTAGTACTTATCTAACTTGGACTTGGCCCGCTCCAAACTGAACTTGCAGCCGCGCAGGAAGGCCACCAGTAGTTGATCGTCCATTCGGGGATTTAAATGGGGCTGCTGCTCGATCCAGGTCTTGAAAGCCTGCAGATCCGCTTCCAAGCGGGCGGGGTCCTCCTTCAGCTGCTCATTGGCCACTTTTTGCAGCTCTGGCGTGAGTGGGCGAATTTGCGGTGCCATTTCTTGAGTTCTTTGAATCAAGAGGAAGTACTAGTGAACTGTTCTGCGTTTCTTGGGGCACTACTTGCCCAATCAACGTTCTATTGACGGTCGATTTTTACGGGGCTTTATCAATTGCCTGATAACCGGTTGATTGGGAGCCATAAACTAAACAAAGACAAACACTGTGCAAAAAGGCCCGATAAGAAGGGTATTTCATGAGAATGCTTCAGTTTAAATTATCAAAAGATCGGGGAATCCTCTTATCATTTTCAAATACATTAACGAGCTTTATTTTGGGTCTACTTCTGGAAGGGATAGTAGTCCAAACCGGAGTTATAATTGTACTTCTTCTTCTGTTTTTTCTGGGCAGCAGCAATAATTTCCTGCACATCCTTGCGATAGGCGGGCGGCAGCATCTCCTCGTGCAGCGTGCAGGGCTTCTCCTCGGGCTCCTCAACCTTAAAGATATACCGCCGTATGATATCTATATCTCGACCGAACTCCTCCTTCAAATCGGCAATCCTCGTGGGCGCTGTATCGAAGGCGATGGTAAAATGGGTTCCCTCGCGATGAACCACTCCATGTTCGCTGACTTTGTGGGGCAGGGCACGGGTTCCCAGGTTCTCCAGCTTCCTGATAATACCACCCTTATCCAGGATGGACTCTGCTGTTCGCTTAATCACGGAAATCAGTTCGGGCTGTCGGGGAGGGCACATTTCTTGTTTACTTTTATGTAACTGCCGGTGGCATTTGATGTGCTACTCACGCGGGGCAACTGACGCAGCACAAGGGCTAATTCGTACGAAGGCATTGTAGTTGGTAGGTTAAACGATGCTTTTCAGTAATCTATTTAAATATTTAATGGCTTTAACTAAGAGTTTTAATTCATTAAAATCTCGGGTAAGTAAAAATAACTTTTCCCACCGGCTGACAGTATTGTCAAACGTCAATTGCACAGCTGTTGTCCGCAGTTCAGATAATAAGCACTAGCGCCTGTTTTGCACAGTGGGACCTCCTTTTGTTTTATTTATTATTGATAACAATTTTTAAATTAGCTCCGAAAACAATTTACCAGTTGTCTTGGGCTTAAAAACAGCAAATTAAATTAAATTTTATATTTCAATTTGTATCAAACATCTTTGGGGTTGCGTCTCTACTGAATGCGCTTAAAATTAGTATACTTGCGTTAACCACATATGGTCATACTGATCTCAAGTAAATACACACTTACATTTCCATCATGGTCACACTGTTTTTTATGCCGAAGTGAAAACAACGACAGTTGCGGACGGAGCGGATAAAAATTGTTTTTCGCACGCCAAAAAGGAGAAACAAATGCTTGCGTTGTGTGAGTGCGGGTGTTCCGAGTGATTGTGTGTGTTTGTGTTTGCAAATGTCGCCCGAATTATGACGCATACATCGAGTGCAACAAAACCGAAAATTGAAGAAATTGCAACTGCATGTGCAGAAAATAAGTTAACAAACGAAGAGCTATAAAAAACGGTGACAGAAGAAGAACAGTGCGTGCACTCGGCAATTGTGTTTATTTATGTGAACGAGTGTGCGTGTGTGCAAAATTATGTAAATACAACAATAGTAGAATTCCAATTGTCCTCTCTTTTTCTCAATTATGAAATGCAGTTGCACTTAACTCTCTGTTCCTCTCCCTCTCTCTTTGCGCAGCGAAATGCCAGTGCATAAAATTTTCTTATTCTGAACTCCCAAACTTCCCCCAAAAAAGAGTTTTAACACTCATTAGCTATAATATCTTGTACCTTTTTCTACCTGCCGTTGCAACTGACACGTCTGCATTGCCACTCTTTTTTAACATGCTTTCTTACCTGCCCAACCACCGAAAAAAATGAAATATATGACTCGAATTGCTCTCTTTCATAGAAAATTAAACATCGCGTCGCGCAACGCTGAAAAACGGAAAATGAAAACGAAGAAACAACTATAAAATTAATTAACCTTTGCGGGAAAAATAATAAAAACGAATAAAAGTTCTCATCTTTTACTCTTCTCCCTCGCTTTCTCTCTCATTTCCTTCGACTTCTGTGGATTACATTATCTTCTGTGGATTATTATTATAACAACAAATTCAGTGGCAAGCGGATCGAGCAGAAGCAGCAGCAACAACAAACTGGCCGAATCGGAAAACGCAGCGCAAAACTCCAACAACATGAGTTGGGGCACCGAGCTATGGGTAAGTTCTTGTTTTTGGATTGTCAGGGGGTTATCTTGTCAAATGCGTGACTTAAGGAAAAACGAAAAACAATTCAAACGTAAAAAGGTTTTAATAATTTTGATCGAAAAAATAGTGTTTTATTAATCACTTAGGATTCCAAGTTTCTAAGTTTATCAACATAAATCAACAACCTAGTAAATACAAATTTTTATCATTCCTTCTATGTATATTCTGTCCACAAGCTCCATCTTTCGTTTTATCAAGTAACCTGGCGTAAATTTCTTGTTAGAAAATCAAATATCTTCTAGTTGGATAAACAATCTTAGCAAATCCAACCAAGTTAATTAATTATTTCAATGTCATTCAGTTACCCATAGGAAATCCACTCCAAACGGTCGAGCAGTGAGAATTTTACAAATTGCTTTCCATAAGCCAAAGTGCAGGCAAATGTTTTAAGAACGCGCGCTTATAAAGTCTGTCTCTTTCTACTTCTGCATTGTGCCGTCTCTGTTCCTCTACCAACCAAGCTGGAACTTGAAACTTTATAAAAAAAAACTGGTTTTGCGGGTTTTATGTAAATTGCTGCCATATGAGCACGGCCAGCAGCGTGCGCCTCAAAGCAGCAATATATATATTTCTCGGATATATCGTGGCTTTCTTGTTGTTTTTATTTTCTTCGTAGTTTGTGTTCTGTTTCGGAGGCCCCACATTCCGCTTCGATCCATCGAGTTCCAAGTACCGGGTCTCCACATTATTATTATTTTGTTTTTTCCGCTTGTCTATGATTCTCCGCCTCACAGCTGTTTTTCTGACTGTTTTTTCCCCCGTTTAGGCCAGGGCGTTGACACGCCCCGCTAAAGCTTAAGCTTACCTGCCTGAGCAGGGATTTTAAAATGCACGAAAAAGTATAATAAAAGCAAATTTTTTAGCTAGCCTCAGCTGCTTTTTCTGTCCGCCTCCTAAGCCCGATTTAGTTTTTGCTGATTTCAATTCAATTCGGATACTCGGATATCGATGGATTGTATATGCCTTCCGCGTTTTGGGGGTAGTTTTCTTTCATCAGACAGCAGCCGGCACACCCTCAAAACGTACGGTGGTGTGCGTCTGCTTGTAGGTGTGTTTATATGTGTGTGTGTAAGCGGAAAATTCGCCTCGACAGCAGAGGAGGTTCCCGGTGTCAGGACCAAAATTGCACGTCTAGACAACGTTTTGCAAACTATTTGTTGGCACTTTTATTCTCTATTTCCCACAGTTTTCTCTATTTTTTTAGTTGCGGGGATTAAGATGGATTTTGCCCAGCGTCTGCTCTTAGTTTTGGGTTCTGAAAAGCTTACCAAGTTTGCCTACCGGATTTGCATACGACTGAATAAGTTGGGAGACAGTAACTAATAAAATGCAGCTAGAATTTAAAGTACCGGAAGATTAAAATAAGAAATTTATATCTTTAAACCCAAAAAATTTAGTTTTCTATATAGACTATTAACCACACATTGCATGTCGTTTAAAAAACAGTAGATTAAAAAAATTATTAAACTAAAAAAATTATAACCTACAATACCACGCTTAACATAAAGTGAAAATAATTATCTAAAACTTTATAAACGAACCTAGAAATAAGTAACACAGGTAACACAGAAATTCTTATGAAAATAAACAAATTCTTCTCATGTTTTATGGCCAATTCAACATTGTTAGAGTTTTTGCTTTATTCTTGGCTTCACGATATTGTTAAGTGACTCATGTCAGTGGTAGAAATCCAGTTTTTGGAGCCCCCTCTGCCCATTTTCCTCCTACCCATTTTGCAGACTCAATCACGAAGTATTGTTCGCTTAGCGAAAATCAGTAGCCGTCGAACATTAAATATGCCCAAAACTGTTTTTTGAGCATTTGCATAAGTGATTTGCACGCCACAGAAATACTCGATATGCCACTTAACCCAAAGAAAGTGTAACCAGAAAGATTTCAGTTAATTGAATTTGTGCATGGAAAGCGAAGCGAGAAAAATTAAAAAACCTAATAATAATATTGTACATTTATAATGCAAATTCATAGGCCCCCCCTTGTCCAGTTTCTTGGCTAATAACTACGTCGATCGAGCGCGTGGCTAAGCGGGTCAATTGCCGGCCTGCATAAGCCAACAAGTAACAAGCGCCAGTCGTCGGATAATACGAAAAATAAAATGGTAAAAAAAACTTTCTTTGGATTTTTTGTTGCCCATTTTTTTTATATTCAAGATTTTCACTTTAATTAAATTTAAAGCATGCGCCGTTCACTGCGACTCGTTGCTTTGCATATGCAAAAAAAATAGTTGTGGGTCCACAAAAACTCGGTTGAATAAAATCACTTTTTGTTAAGTATTTATTTCGACATTTGAATTTGATGGGAATTTCTTTTTGGGAAAACACCCCGCCCACATATCTCTTTTTCCTTCTTCCTCTCTCGTACTCTTTTTCTCTGCCGCAGCTCTTGGTTTTTCTCGTGTCTACAGAGTGGGCCTAAAAATAGTCCGTTGTTTTTGTAAATTCGAATTACGTCGGGTCTAGACAAAGTATATTGAATTAATGATGATGTTGGTGCCAGAAAATTTGGGAGTTTCAAATTGGTTTCACAGGCTGTTTTTAGACCAACTTTTTGCTTTTCGGAATTAATTATACTATTATTACTCTGATTTTCCAAATATGTACTCACTAAAAACTATTTTCTTGTTTTTAGATGTTTGAAGATATATGAAGTATTTATTGTATCAAAATTAATTCCAATGCTGTCTAGAATTTACTCGAAAACATGCAATGCTGTAAAGATGCGTTGCTATTTCAACTTATCTGCCTTCTAATTGGCTGTCTCCATGAATAATTTGTTTTTATTTGAGTGTTGTGCTTTGTCATACCCTATATAATCAGCTGGTTTTCCAGAGCACTATTCAGTATACCACAAACCGATGACTGACCGGCTCTTCTCCAGTTTTTTACACAAACCCTCCTCAACTCCAGACCTCGGTCCTCCACTCGGCGTTCAATGCCATCGAGTCGAGTGCAGCTGTTTAATGTTGTCGAGCACTGTGTAAATAATTTTCATGCAATTTGTGCTGCTGCTGTAGATCGTTTTTGATCCGTTTTCACATGACATTGAACGGCCCAAGACAGAAAACAAAACAAACCGAAACATTCACCGAGACGTTCACCCAGCAATTAGCAAAAAAAAAAAAAAAAGTATGTGTCGAATTGGAGAACGTCTTTAGGTTCGGTTGTCCCAACTTGTTGAGCGGCTAAAAATATGGCCAGAGTCAGACGGCCATAAAGCATTTTTTATGTGTCCCGGGTGTGGACATACTGCTGTAAGGAACTGTTTGGTCGTACGCTCCATAAAAAACGCACGAAATAAAGTCGAAGCTCATATATCTTTTCGCAGCAGGTTATTTCTAGGGGGAGGACCTGGGGATGAATGCTTTTCTATTTCTAACGTGTCCGCCATTATTGGAATTCTATCACCAGGTCGTGCAGAGGGTGGCTCTTTAAGACTGCATTTCGCTTTCTTTTCCCCCCATATGAGATCTCCTTGGGCACAATTCCAATTAAGCGAGGCAAGTGTCAGGGCCAGGACATCCCCGGAAATGGGGTGGACTCTGGCTCAAGGCCATGCTCCTTGGACCTCCTTCACTTGCTCGCGTCGTGAGTGCAGAACGCACCCTATCTGAAAATCCTAATCTGCATCACCACCGCCTCTTCCGCATCCTTATCGATTTCTTTTCGACTTATCCTCCTTGCAATATGTCCCTTGAATAAAATCAAAATAGTTTCGGCTTACTCAAGGGAATTTTCCAAGTTCACTCGCGCCACGGGGGGTTGCAAAAACATTTTCGCTGATTTTATGGCATCCGGATGTGAATTTGCGAAGTCAACAGAATTCGGCGGCAATTTGAGACGCAATTTGAAAGCTGACTAAGGAGTTATTTATTTGCCAAATCGCCTGTTTTCTAAGTAAGGGGCTAATGCATAAGCGATTGTCATGTGTGGAATCAATTGAAAATATTTGGAAAAACGATTAAAAGGAGGGTGCTATTAAAAATTACAAAAGGAATGTTTTGAAAAATTATATGTTAATACTTAAAATAAAAGAGAATACAAAACTTTTTTTTTGAATTACTTAATTTTTTAGCCAGCACTTTAATCACTACATTCCATAAAAAATCTCTCGCTATCGATATCCTCCTCTGTTTGTCCCATAACTCTCGCCATGATTGCAAATTCTATTCACATCCACCTGGCCAGTGCATTGTAAAGTTATTATTTTCTGTTTGCATTTTTGCATTTAGCACGTTTTGGCCCGCGTTGCCATTTCGTCTGTCTGTCTCTGGCGTCTCTATTGATTTCAGTAGCCTTCAGCCAGTTTGCGCCGCATGCATACTAAACAGCCTCAAGATACTTTTGCCAGTGCAGGCAAAAAAAAAACCTTTTAAAATGCAAATTGTGACCGTTGGAGTTTGAAATAAAAATCGGTTGCGGCGCCTGCGGAGACCATTTATAAATTTGTGTCACTACTCAGTTATTGCACCACACGAGAGCCATTACATGCTTGGTATATTATATTACATTAATATTTGAAAACATTTCAGAGATAAGGTTTGAATTCTGGCGCGATAAATTCGTATATATTGCGCATGCAACTTCCCTTCTTCGAAAGTCGCAGCTTTGATAAGTTGACCAACTTAAGTACAGTGTGTCCCTGGGAAGCGATAAAAGAACCAAAACATATTTCAGAAATATTTCCACATACTCTTCTTCTGCTGTGCTAAATAAATATTTCAAGTGCAAAAAACGTGAACCGAATTTCTCTATTTCCATGATTAACACCTTGGCATTTCCAAAACAAATCAATCTGTTGCCATTTGAAGTGAGTCAGAGAATCTGTTTTGTTTACGAATACCTGCTGATTCAGCTGGAAGAAATCTTGTGTATACTTCATTTAAATAATTTCAAGTTTTAGAGTTTTCAGTTTTATTTGGCATAGTGCTGCTTTTTTCCATGTTTCCGTTCAGTTCGTTTTCATTGTCGGCGATGTGTCAGAAGAAAACTTATCAGCAAATCCACTGAGCAAGCCGTATGTGACTAAATTAAATGAACCTGTTGCTGGTCATAAAATCTATATAGACACGCACACCGACAGGTGAAAAAAATCCCTGGTTCAGTTTATTATATTTTTTGTTGGAGTTTTTATCAATCGGAAGTAGAGGGTTTGCCTGACTTCATATCAAATATTTATTTTGTACCCTATTAAGAAATCGGGGATACCGAATTTTTTAATTTTAACATACATTTATAATGGTATTTTTAAACTTAAACTCACTTAAGCATTTTAGAAAAGTTAATCTTACCATAAATATGTTGTTTTTGCAGATGACATTTTTTATACAGTTTGCACTCCAAAAAGTGACATTGAAAAATATTTATCTTAATTTAAGGATGTTTACACTTTATTAGCATATGCAAATTTATCCCAAAGTGATTTATCTCACCTACACAAAAATTTAAAATAATATAAGACTCTTTCATTTTACTTTTCGTTTGTCATTTTATTTTTGGCTAGAGTATGTGAATTTCAGCGTTTTCCAGTCAAACAATTATTGTTTGACTAAGCACACTCACAGTCGCTTACAAACAGCTCACACACATGGCCTATCATATCAGCAAAGGTTAATAAGTAAATATTAGTTAGACATTAGATACACAATGGGCAGTGCTACGTATCGCTTAGAACATTTTTTGTGGTTGCCTGAGGGGAACAAAGGCCAAATTCAATTATAGTTGCGGCCGGCAACAACTTGGCCAAGTTGGGTGTGGCAAAAATACCAAAGGCAAAAAATACAGAATACAAAATCATGAATCAAAGACTTCGATTTTGAATTATAATTAAAATTCCACGGAAAGATTTATGATGTTTGGCATAGAAAGCTTTAACCAAAGGGGAATTCACTCCCACAAGAAAAATATCAGTTTCAACTCTATAGTCAAAACTAAATTGGTTTGCCAGAAAGTTATGGAAAACAACTTTTTTTTAATTTATTCCTAAAATATATTATGTAGCAATCTATTCATATAGTAATGTGTATATCTATATTTACTGTGTTGATCTAGCTTATCGATTCATTGAGTAAGTGGAATTTGTAGTTTGTTTGCTCGATAAGAACGGTTTTCCGCTGTTGATTATCAACAGGTTCACGAACTAAACTCTGACCCTGCGCTGTCAGCTTTTGTTTGGCCATTTTTCTTTTATTATTCCACCATTTATTAATTAGTCTAGAGATTTATGGGCAGCCGGTGATAATTCATTTACGCCTTCTGACTTTTGGCGGCATGGCGACATGTGGCCGCTGATGGCTCATGACCAAGTCAAGTTAATGTCTGGAGAGTCCTCCTCTCGAGTGGTTCTGGTTATCCAGAGGGAGTGTGTGCCATTTTGCCAGAAATCGGCAACAGAAATGGGCCACAAATCACTTGAAATTGCAGTTGGATCGGGCAACCCCGTTTCTTTTTGTTTCTTGTCCAAAATGCACTCAAATTGAAGTGGTAAATGGGACGTCATGGCAACCGATGCCCTTTGTTCTCGATCCCCTGTGTGCTGTGTGCAGTATATAGTATATGTGAAAATGTGCCCTAATGCCAGTTTATATCACGTTTTAGCCGTTGATTCTAGCAACACGTTTCGTTATTCGTTATTTACATCCCAGCTTGTTGATAAAAAGCTTCTTTCCTTTTGAGTCACCCACTTCGTCTGACTGACTCACCCAAAAGGGGGTGGCCTTGCTGCCTCCTGATTCTGTTGCTTCCACCCTCCCACACACACACACACACAGAACAGCTGGATGACTCATCAGCTGAGCCTGGCTGTCCTTCAGCCCAATGAACGCCCACCCACCCAAAGGCCCCCATGTAATGCCGCTAACATTGCGGCAAAGTGCTTGATTACGATGTTTGTTTAATACTTATTGCCGTGCGGAGTGTGACAATGTTTGTTCAAGGGGATCACTGCAGGAAATGGGGTTTTAAAAAAGGGGAGAAATTTATAATAAGCCAGCTTATACATTATGCATAAGGTTTCTTGACAGCACCATTTTAAATTAACAAAAAA